CAAATACCTGTTCAGTTGTTTTTTTTTCATTGCGTTCACTTTTGTTGATGGACTTATCTCAAGAACATATCGCTGAGCGGAAATCGTATTCATTGTAAGTATTCGATTTGTTTGAATGAATAGAGCTGCTATCAACGTGATGTTTCTTATAAGATGTCTAATATCTTGTTACAGTTCTTATGAGAGAATTTTTTAGTCAATGAACAGAGAGAAGAGAAGATGTGTATTTTTTAAGGTAACAATTTGAACTATTACAGAGAAGTTGAGATGAAATATTCGAATATTTTTATTGTGAAGAAATATAAAATAAAATGGAAAAGAAGACTGATTATGTGCATGTAGAAAAAGGTTTATGTGGGTAAGTAGACAAGCATTCGCATTGAAATGATGTTTTGATGGGATGGACGTCTTTTTGAGATGTTAAAATATTGTTGAAGTAGTTGAATTCAAGTTTTGTTTTGTATATTAAATTTCTTATAGTACATGCATAAACGAGTTATTGTGAACATATTTATTTTTGTTTGTTTATTATACTCTCCTAAAATGGCATTTTATGAACTGTTCTCATCGATATTTTATCGTCGTCTAAATTTAGATCTACTCTTATTTCGATTTCTTCCAAATACTAATCATTTCAACTTCCAACAATTTTTATCTTTCATCAGGTTCAATTCAGTTTGTGATCGTAATAACGTGCAAATTACCTTCAATTTTCACGACTTGTTCAGTTTCGTTCCTCATATTCAACAAGTCATTGTTGTCGTTAATATCGTCTCTGTTCTTTTCTCGTCGACTGGTCTTCTTTGAATATATACCGCAGAATTTCTATATCGCGAGTATTCTCTGAAGTCATAATCTTTAACAGTTGCAAAATTAGTGGTTCTAAGAGGAAATTATTTCATCGGTGTTATAAGTATTCAAAAAGCGGTCGTTAGAATGTTTGCTATCGAGCTGAATTTGAGGATAGTAATGATTCCTGAGTTGTTGCGTTCAAAAGTGATTTCCGATTAGATATCAGCAGTGATTTATCGATTCTTAGAGAATATTATGGATTTATGAGGATTTATCATTTATACATTCGTGAATATTAATGTCTGAAACTGTTCCTTGTTAATAGTGCGTTGTAAGGATGCACTGTAAAGGATGATACATAACACATTCATGACTGAATTACGGTGGTATTATTTGCGTGCAGATGATTATGTGACTGTATTTTTGAATGAACTTAGACGCGCCAACAACATAATGAACGAAAAAATGTTTGTTTATTTATTTATTTAGTTAGTAATAAATATTATCACGATTATATAGTTGTATATTACAAATAATACATTGTAATTTGAAACGCCTCGTTAAATAGGAATTTGCAATGAAATTGAATGAATGAATAATCATAAATAAATGAATATATAT